AAAAGTTAACAATAAGTCAACTGAAACGAAAACTTTAACAAAAAACTAATCTGCTTCTGCATCAACGACAGTTAATAACTATCTTACTATGCAGCATTATCACGCAAAGGATTTGCCCTCTTTTCAACTAAAATTGTAAATAACTGGGAAATGCTATTCTCCAATTAAAATGCTTCAACTGATTTTGTACCAGCTATTATTTAATTAGAATATTATTAAAATTAACGATTTATGGGTACCAGCTCGTGTGGGATTCTGTAAACGTTAAGTTCACATTAGATTGCATTGGAGATACTATTACCCTTAATCATCTTTTCACGTCGATTTGACAACAACAACAACAGCAACAACCGACTGATAATGGTTCGTAATTAAAGGGAATCGCCTTAATGATGCCCTGGTTTTACAATCTCGTATACTTCTTCGCCACAAACTTCCATGTCTCTCTTTTAACTCATCGTTCTATTTGAGATGAGGTCATTCAATCCGGCGCTTGGAGTCCCTTAGCTACCAATCTGTCGGTAGTAAAGTAGCGATGTTAACACCCCATTAAAATAATATTAATTTCGCTTTTACCATTATATCACTTTTTAGCGAATGTACAATCTATGTACTGAATTAAGGAATCAGTCATAATTCTTAAACACTTGTGGCGTGGTAGCAGAGTGTTCAACAGGTCTGCTTCGAACTCCGGAAGTGCCGGGCTCGATTTCGCCCCAGAACAATCGTCGTCTTATTCAGAAATCCCCTTGAGCAAGGAATTAACCACAAACTGCTTCAGTTTGGAGTACAGGTCCCGAATTCAAGTTCCGGTCATAGTCCCTTGTACATCTTCATTCCGAGGTTGATGAGTACCACTCTGTGGAAAGGAAGCAGGAAATTAAATGCTACGCTTGTCACCAAAAAATGCGCTTATTAAGGAGATAAAAACTGACTGTGGCCAGTAGAAAAATCTGACATAGATAAAATTCTGTATATCACGTTAACTGTGTGAAGAAAAAGAGTATAAAACAATCGAAATCTCTGTTGTTAAAAATCGACAATGATGAGATTATGGAAGCGCACAGGTTTAAAAAGTTCCGAAGCTTAATACAAAATAAAAACAATCCGTAATCCAAAAAAAACCATCGATTAATTTTGCAGCTTACTGCTGATCATAAACGAACCAATCGTACAGAAAACGTAAAAAATAAAATGTATAAATAGCCGTTACGAATGAACATTCTGCACATACTTTACAAAGATATAAGAGAACATTAAACGAAACAGCAAGGCAATGCAACACAAACCAATATTTAAACAAGTCCAAACAACGAAAGCAACTTAAACCTGGAAATCGCGGTAATTTTTCTGTTTGAAAATTAACAACCAAACAAAAGTTGCTAATTCAAATTGAGCAAATATATTACCTGTATTACTTTACATCGACAATTTTATCTACTCGGTGTGTCTGTTGTTCTGACTAGAAACTTTCAGATAATCGGCTTTAGAGCTATTGTTGATCAGAAGTGCAGGAAGTTGGCTTGGAGAATCACAGAAAGACGCTTCTTGAAGTAGTGGCGATGGCATTAATGGTTGTTGTTACTTTCGTCAACTTAGGTTGTTGCACACACTGGGGACAGATCTTAGAGAGCTTTAGAAGACCCTGATGAAGCATCCGCTATTCACAGTAGTCGCTGCTACTCCCTGCATTTCAGCACATCGCAAGAGCATAGTAAGAGTTAGCATAGGAAGCTGCAATAAAATATTTTGTTAAGTCCATGCCATAGAAATATATACTTTTTAACATCACAAACATCTTCTCAGAGTTTATGTAATTAGCTAAACTAAAATTCAAAAAATATTTAAATAACTTAAACCTAGCTTTAGAGACAAACAAAAAATGCAAGTTTAGGAAAAAATCAACCTATTAACCGAAACATGTGTGATGTACGTACTCGCCACGAAACACTGCTAGAAAGGTTTTCTACGGCGACGCGGTAAGAAGTTCTACGGGGCGGTCGAGGCAACGGTCGCCGGAAGGGCGGCCTCATCATCCCCCTACCATAGCGTGGCATGCTTCTCTCATAACCATATCCGCCGTTTCGAGGAGGAGGTAGGTACCGTCTTTCGGATCGTCGACGGGCTAGCTCCACTATGACTCTAAACGAAAGAAATGACAAATAAACAGCAGGTGTGAGAAATCTCAACTCCCATACCTTCCTCCAAGAAGCTCTTTGCCATTCAGCTCATGAACGGCATCATCCGCGTCGCGGTGATCAAAAAACTCCTACAACTTTGACTTCAGACTCAGTGCGTAAATTCAACTACATGCATACCACAAATCCGAAACCGTTCTTTACAGTCACCTCTTCGATTCGACCGTATCCTTTGAAAAATCTTGAGAGATCGTTTTCATTTGCATCTTGGCTTAGTCTTCCGATATAAACTCGTGTAGTCATCGTTTATTTGCGAGATTAATACAAGATTTCCCAAAGTCCGAATCTTTGGAACATATATCAACGTATGGCGAATACAGTAATTTGTTCTTCCTGCAAATCAATTTGCATTGGATTTAGCGCATAGTGTTCGTATGCGAAGCACGGTGCTAATTTGCAAGGAATAACCTATAAGACTGCCGTAACAGATAGTCACGCTACTTTTCATTTAAGATAAGTAAATTTTACGGTTGGGTTAGATGCAACTGCCAAAGCGCTAGTAAAGTACGATTTCTCCCTTAAACAGCGCGAAGGTTGCCAGTATCACAGTCACAGTTTCACATGCTCATGAACGAGACAGACCATTGTGTATTTGCGGCCAAGACCTCGCATAAGATTTTTTTATCAACTATTTGTTTATCAGTTTTCCCGTGTTTGCCGTTCATATTTAAAAACTGACCTTCAAAACACTTTTTCAAGCGGATCTAGGCACTGGTTTTTGACAATAGTTTCCAAACCTGGTAATCTGTAACCTAGAATGGTCCTTTAAATCTCTCCTTACCGTAGTGAGACTGGATCTATTCATACTGTTGTTTCTACATTAGAGTGTTACTTTGTGCTTTTATTCTTTCCAGCCCTCTTTAGCGTTGGTTCCTTAAGTTTTTATCGCGAGAGTGTTTGACGTATAAATTGTTGAGATTACTTATTATTACATGTTTACTGTAATTCTGATTTAATCTCTAATCCTTCAGACAATTTTGATATCAGCCATCAGTTCGTGATTACCAACCAAAGGCATCTGAGGGATAGGATGCAATCGGTCTAAAAAAAGTGCTGCATTGGTAGTGTTCTGTTATCCAAATATATGGCTGATGCAAAAGCAGGAAATTATGGCAACCATTTCAACTTAATCGTTGGCAACGTCCAAATCGGTGAAACTGGATGATAATTCCAAGAAATACTTAAATGTCAAGAGGATCAGACTGAAGAATCGGTGACCGTAGAGCACAGCGTGAAAAACCAAATCATCTGGCACGTAGCAGCAAAAAATTTTCCAGGAAGGAGATTGGAGTAAAAGGAGTTAATACAAATTGCTATATCGAAAAAAATCCCATAACAGTATACGAAAAACTAAATTTAATACCTCATCACTAACATCGCGACTGCATCTTCGGAAGAATTACAGTTCAAGAAAGTAACCTTATCTACTCTCTCTTTTCCCGTGCAACATATTAAAATAGCTTTGCCCTTGTAAAGTCTAGCAAGTCAGAAAACTTTGAACGAGCATTGCGCTCTGAAACTCTAGTGGCGAAACGAGCTCAAATAACTCCTATCATCGAAACAATGGTGAAAAACTTCATTCGGATTAGACATGTGGATACCACTTTGGAGATGCAGAATTATGCGGATCTTGCTTCAGACTGGAGAGTGATCGAATTTGAATCCAAATATGCAAACATCCTCAACTTCATCACTTTCTATGGCCGATTATCTCTTCGGGGTCGCGGAGTGAAATCCGTCACACAGAGCTTGTAACACCAACAATTCTGTGCCAGAGTATTACCTTATGGAGAACACAACCGAAGTTTGGAACAGACTCCTCCCATATAATTGCACTAGGTTAATCTTAGCCGTCGCAACGCCTTCTGTCGGTCGGTTTCGCAAGAAAGAGTAGCTTAGCCTTCCTCTCTGAAGGTGTTCGCAACACATGCCCAAACCATCACCGCTGTGACTTCACAATCTGAACATGGACAGGCTTCATATCAAGGTTTTCTGCATGTCATGATTTCGGACCTTGTCTGATGTGCAAGGCCAGTGACTACACGTCAGCAGCTTGCACCCGGGTTCGAAGCTTTGACCTCATGATACACGATTCATGACCGTAGGTGAGCATGGGGATATAGATCGACATGAACGTCGAGAGTGTTATTCTAACAATGAACTCTGGCTTAGACACAATGGATAGGGCTAATTCACGCAGAACGCCACTGGGAACTCCAGTTCGCTGGTCGATCTCTTTCACAAACTTTTCATCACAAGGAAATACAACTCAGTGGTACTCGAACTTCGCCACCTGCTCTACTGCTACCCGATTTATCTGAAGA